CTTAAAACGGACTCCTTGTAGCCCAACGCCAAACCCGCTGCCTTGCGATCAGGTTTTTGAACCAAAGGCTTTGGTTGAGAACCCTAATCGTTCTCCTGTCTAGGCCTGGGCAACCTGACAGTATCCTGCTCACGCAATACTATGAATTTTCCTTCAAACAATTTCTTGATGCTCTGGCCACCGCAGAGGATAATCAACGGTGCCCTATCTGCTGCATCGAGCAGGGTTGATAGGGGTTTGGATGCTACTGCTCAAGCTTTACCGTCTTCCTATTCCCCTTCTTACGCTTTTTCACTCTTACTGTCCCATTCCAACTTCACTTACATCCCCCCAGTTTTCAACCCCCAGATTCTTGGCCCTCCCCCAACATGCTTTGCTAGGCATTTACCTTCTAATTTCAACTCACACGTGAACGCGGAGCGTCACTCCTCTCCTGTCGACAAGCCCATGTCCAACCAAGCGATCCGTTCCAGTTCATCGGCTTCCATTTGGAGCCCACGATCCTCCTTCAGATTGGCATGCCTCAATGTACGCACACTGCTACAAATCGGTCAACAGGCAGCACTTGCCCGAACATTGGAGACCCTCTCGATCGATATCTGCTGCTTATCAGAGACTCGCCTGCAAGACTCGAGCACTGTGCTCACTCTGCGATCCCCTTCAGGTGACGCAAGCAGTATATTCTCCTTGCGTCTATCCGGTGACGATGCAGCTTCGAGCACCGGCCAAGCTGGTGTTGGCATTGCCCTGAGTCCCCGTGCTGAAGCTGCTCTGGTTGATTGGATTCCAATCAGTAGCCGGATGTGTGCGGTCCGATTGGCTGGCTCGTTTAAAGCTTCGAAGTCGCGCGGGACTAATAGATGTCTTTGCATCATCGCTGCCTATGCGCCCACAAACTGTAGCGATGATTCGGTAAAGAACGACTTCTACCGCCAACTGACCCAGCTCCTTCGCCACAGAAGAAGCACGGACACTGTTGTGCTGGCGGGGGATATGAACGCACAAGTTGAAAAGTTGTCCACTGATGAACTGCATCTGGGCGGTCAACACGATGTAGGCTCCCGTAATGATAACGGTGAGCGGTTACTTCATTTGTGTGAAGATGCTCGCTTATTTCTTGCGAGCACTAATTTCCGACACAGCACCCGCCGAAGGGTGACTTGGCGCCCACCAGCCTCGAACCAGCCTTGAACGCAGATCGATCACATTGCGATAAGTTACCGCTGGAGAGGCTGCATCCAGAATTGTCGCTCGATTTGGAGCACATGTGTGGACACTGATCATGCACTTGTATGTGCTGACATGCGGATGCGTTTTGGCGGACGCCCACGACGACGCTGTGAGCGTATTGACACCAGCCAACTGACAAAACCAGCTGTTCTGAATGCGTATCGAAGTACGCTGACATGCGAGTTGAGCAAGCGCTCACAGGAGACAATCGATGGTCACTAGTCACATCTTCGCCAGACCTTACTAGCAGCAGGCAAATCCTCATGTGGTATGTCTAATAAACAACATAGACATTGGGTCTCTTCGCAGTCTCTGGAACTTATAGATGCTCACCGGCAAATCCCGGCTGGAAGCGAGCACAATGAAACTCGCAAAGAGCTCCGGGCAAAACTCCGTGCTAGCCTGAAGAGAGACCGCGAATCCTGGTGGTCTCATCATGCGTCAGAGATGGAAGTGGCTGTTGCCCTTGGCAACCACCGTTAGTTATTCCGTCTGATACGAGAAACGGGCAGCAGGAGACCTGGTGGTAGTGAAACTATACGTGACGAGATTGGACAGCCTATCCACAATTTTTCAAAACGTTTGGAGCGTTGGGCTGAGCATTTTGAAAAGCAATTTAATCGGCAAGAATTATTTGATTCTTTGCCGGTCAGTGATCGCCCTGCTCCGTGGGCTGTCCCTTTGGATCCACTCAGAAGTCGAACGTGAGATCGGACTGTTGAAGTTGAACAAAGCCGCGGGACCAGATGATCTTCCTCCAGCCCTCTTCAAATTTGGAGGCTCTGCTCTTGTTGATGCTTTGCATGAATTCCTAGTGAAACTGTGGGAGCAGGAGATTGTCCCAACCGACTGGAGTCGCTCCGTTATTGTTCCCATCTTCAAAGGCGGCTCGCGCTCGGAATGCGGCAACCATAGAGGAATCAGTCTGATCTCCATCGCCTCCAAATTACTCGGGTCCATAATTCTTCACAGACTGACTGGCGCTCGTGAAAGCCAGATTCGTGAGGAGCAAGCCGGGTTTCGTCGTGGTCGTGGCTGCATCGACCACATCCTCACCTTGCGTCAGTTGTTGGAACACCGTCACACATATTGGCGGACCACCGTAGTCGTGTTCCTCGACATCAAAGGTGCCTTCGATTCGGTTGATCGATGTGCCCTTTGGAATTGTCTACTCAGAAAAGGTGCCCGAGAAATATGTAAATATTATCCAAGCATTATATGCGCGTAGCACGGGCAGAGTAAGGGCTTACGGCAAGCTGTCGCCACCCTTCAATATCTCCAGCGGTGTGAGGCAAGGATGCCCGCTGTCACCTTTCCTCTTCAACTTCGCTGTTGACGAAGTCATGGAGATTGCATTTACAGGACATGACTTGGAAGGTGTGGAGCTACTCCCAGGAGAATGACTTATTGCCTTGGAGTATGCAGACGACATTGCCCACATCTGTGACAGCTCCCAGACGTGTCAAGCCGCGCTGGACGGATTAGCACTGGCTGTCAGTCGTTTCGGGCTTTGCTTTGCACCACCGAAGTGCAAAGCGTTCCTCCAGGATTGGCAGGGTTCGCCCCCTGTGCTGACCCTTGGTGGGGATCAGCTAGAAGTCGTTCAGAAATTCAATTACCTGGGAAGTTGTATCAGCGCCCTTGGGATCGAAGACGAGATCACGAACCGCATAGCGAAAGCTCGAAGTGCTTTTGCTAACCTTCGTCACCTATGGCGACGGCGCGACATTACTCTCGCCCTGAAGGGTACAGTGTACAATGCAGCGGTACGTTCGACCTTACTGTACGGTTGCGAAACCTGGCCCCTAAGATCGGCGGACATGAAGAGGCTACTTACGTTCGACCATCGGTGCCTTCGCAGTTTGGCTCACATCTGGTGGGAACACCGCGTGAGTAACGAGCGTGTTTGACGCCTTGTTTACGGCCTAGGAAAAGGTAATGAACCGCTCAGCACCGTCATTTCACTCACCAGGCTCCGATGGCTGGGCCACGTGTTGCGCATGCCAGCCCACCGACTCCCTCGACGTGCGTTGTTTGCTCACCGGGGATGTGGGTGGAAGAAGAGGAGAGGTGGCCAAGCGATGACTTGGTCCAGAGGAATGAAGGCCCTCACTTCGGAGCTGACCTCAGTTGGAGCTTCACGGCTCCCTGGTTGGGGTCCAAAAGACGGTGAACACGTTTGGCTGGATACACTTGCTGATATGGCAAGGAGCCGACCTCAGTGGTGTTCCTGCTGTGAGTTTCTTTGTCCCTCCCCATCCCTTTAGCCTCCCCCTCCATCTACGATCTTATCTCATAGGGTAAAACGTAATTAAATTTTTGTTTTTGCCTAGTAGCCCGCTAGTAGCTTACCGGAACGATGCCTATCCGTTGCTGGTAGCTCAGCTGGCATTCAACTGTCGTATTTATTTTTCCTTTATGTATTGTATGTATGTATTTCCTTTATGTATTGCGGTACAATAGCGGAGGTGTTTTACCACCTCTAGCTGACATGTATAGTGATGATGATGATGATGATGTTGATGACATCTATTACCACCACGGGATTTCAGAGTATTGAACGATCCAGCCATTCGGACCGCACACATCGGGCTAGTGATTAGGATTAAATCAACCAGAGCAGCTTCAGTCCGCGGACTTAGGACTATACGCACACCGGCGTGGCAGGCACTCGAAGCTGCATGTTCTCCCAATAAACGTCGTGGGCACAGACCTCGAGTCTTGCAAGCGAGTTCCCGATAAGCAGCAGATATCGATCAAAAGGATCTCCAATGTTCAAGTAAATGGTGCCTGTTAACCGAGCTGTAACAATGTGCGTGCGTTGAGGAATGCCGACCTGAGAAAGGATCGAGGGCTCCAAAAAGAAGCCGATGAACTGTTGTTCACTGGGTTGGACACGGATTTGTCGACAGGATAGAAGTGACGCTATGCGTTTACATGTGAGTTGAAACTATAATATAAACGCCTACCAAAGAAAGGTGGGGAGGAGCAAGAATTGGGGGGTAGAAAACAGGCGGAAGGGACGATAAGGATGAGAAGGCGCAACAGCTGGAAGGCCTGCTCAGTAGCATACAAAGCCTATACACAATGCTCGATGCAGCAGGTAGGGCTCCGTTGAGTATCTTCTGCGACGGTCAGAACACCAAGAAATTGTTTAAGGATAGATTCATTATATTGCTTGAGCAGGATACTGTCAGGGTGCTCTGGCCTAGACAAGAAAAGCGATTAGGATTCGCAGCCAAAGTCTTTGGTTCAGAAATCCGATTTCAAGGCAGCGGGTTTGGCAGTTTTAAGGAATAAGGAGCCATAATCACTCCAAGCCACAACATGGAGGACCAGGGGTTGAGTTTGTCTAGACTCTAACCATTGACTAATTTGGTAGGAGTGGCTCTGGAGATGCAAGAAGTACCACCCATCACAGCTCAATGGATCGCTGATGCACACAAACCATCGCACCATGGTAAGGTCCAGCCTCAATGCGATGGAAGGAGAACAGTAGTGGACTCGAGATAGAAAAAATTCGAGAGGTGTGTGAGCTACTAACGAGTTCCAATGCGACGAAGTAAACGTCTAGTGTTTATGATATTGAGATCAGCTGCGGAGAAATTCATCAAGAAAAATCAGAATATATGCTCCACGGTGTCAAATGAAAAGACACAGTGTAGCAATCATTTTGGGAAGGAAACCGCCGATGCAAAGATTTGTGACAAAGAGATGAGAAGGAAACGGTGAACGCGCAGTGCGTAGCTTCAGACAACAGCAGAACGTACCAATATGGAGTGCCGATGAACGAATTGCGACGCTGGATGGTTTGGGTTATTCGAGCGGCAACCCCAAAGTCAGCTGAAAGCAAAATAGCGCGAGGCGTGCAATAAAGAATAGATACAGTGACTTGAAGTATAGGATAACATGCTAAGCAGTAGGGACAGACTCAAGTTGTATTGAAAAGCGGATACATGGCTACAGAGTGTGACAAGATAATCGTGCAGGAATGCAAAATAGATTCCGAGTTGCGACTTAAAGCCGGATGGAGGGCGTGTGGTTCCTTTAAAATAAAATGTGATGAGAAGCATTACAGAGAATAGTAGCCGTGGAATACATTGGTTACGAATGGAATATCTAAGATTTCGAATCCAAAAATAAAGCCAGCGATGTAGCCTAATCACTAGTTACCATGTTACGTTACGTAGAACGTTAATGGGGGCATGCTGCTGTAGGGTGCGAAAAGAAGCAACAATGTACATATGAATTGCAGATGAACGTATAACGCTCCCCATTGGAAATGATGAACCAAAAGCCATGGTTTACCAACAGAAACAACGACCGTCAATACCCATCATACAGGTAAAACATCTGGAAACTTTGTGTTATCCTCAAAATGGATCCCATAGCGCGGGCAGAACGAATTAGTTCAATTACTGAAAATGAAAGTTAGTGGTGCATAACTACCACTAGTAAAGATCGAGCAACGCGCATATGTCTATGAATAGTGTCTAGGACAACTATTTACACAAATGCTCGAGGGTTGCAGCGTGCAAATGAGTCGTGGGTTAGACTAGAACAGGTAGTTGGTGTAATATATACTGTACTGTCAGTTAGTGGAAAAAATATGTACCAAAAAGCGAGACGCGATAGTGTAGTAGAAACCGTAGAAAATGTGGAGTAACTTACCAATCTTCACCTCGCCATCGTTGGTAAGAAGAATGTTGGCCCCCTGTGGTAATGGACATAAAATCGAGATGATTGAATAATCAGCGACGGAGCCATCTAGAAAAGTTGCGATGATTCCATAAAACAGTGTAGTCAAGCATCCTATGTATGAACAGCACAATTCAGCTTGGATGATCAACTTTGATGCGTTCAGTGTGTTAATTTACCCTGATACACAGCCGAAGTAACTGTGATAAAGATAATTATAACGAGCAGAAAATTCAAGAGAAACAAAAAATGAGTCGTCAGATGGAATGGTGAGGAGCTCGTAATGAGGGAACGAACGAAAGTACACTAATGGCTCCGTCGCAACGAGAGAGGACCTTAACGTGGATAGACGGTTTGCGTACCGCTTTGACCCATGAAGCTATACTGGGTGATGCCTCCGGGCACCTTGAGAGATACTCCCAAAAGGTTGGTCAATGGTTAGAGGTCAAACAAACTCAGCCTCCTGGTCCTCCAAATTGGAGGTTGGAAAGAGGGTGGCTACTTATTCCTTAAAACGGACTGCTTGTAGCCCAACGCCAAACCCGCTGCCTTGCGATCAGGTTTTTGAACCAAAGGCTTTGGTTGAGAACCCTAATCGTTCTCCTGCCTAGGCCTGGGCAGCCTGACAGTATCCTACCCATGCAATACAATAATTTCTCTTCAAACAGTTTCTTGGTGCTCTGGCCACCGCAGAGGATAATCAACGGTGCCCTATCTGCTGCATTGAGCAGGGTGGGTAGGGGTTTGCATGATAGTGCTCAAGTCTTTCCATCTTCTTATTCCTCCTCTGTAACGCTTTTTCACTCTTACCGTCCCGTTCCAGCTTCACTTTTATCCCCCTTGTTTTCAACCCACCCCCAATGCTTGGCCCTCTCCCACCTTGCTTTGCTAGGCTTTTATCTTCTAGTTTCAACTCACATGCTAACACGGAGCGTCTTTCCTCTCCTGTCGACAAGGCCTTGTCCAACCAAGCGATCCGTTCCAGTTCATCGGCTTCCATTTGGAGCCCACGATTCTCCTTCAGGTTCGCATGCCTCAATGTACGCACATTGCTTCAGATCGGTCAACAGGCAGCACTTGCCCGAACATTAGAGACCCTCTCGAACGATATCTGCTGCTTATCGGAAACTCGCCTGCAAGACTCGAACTCTGTGCTCACTCTGCGATCCCCTTCAGGTGACACTAGCAGCACTTTCTCGTTGCGCCTATCCGGTGACGATGCAGCTTCGAGCACCAGTCAAGCCGGTGTTGGCACTGCCCTGAGTCCCCGGGCTGAAGCTGCTCTGGTTGATTAGATTCCAATCAGTGGCCGGTTGTGTGCGGTCCGATTGGCTGGCTCGTTTAAAGCTTCGAAGTCGCGCGGGACTAACAGGTGTCTATTCATCATCGCTGCCTATGCACCGACAAACTGTAGCGATGACTCGGTAAAAGATGTCTTCTATAGTCAATTGAACGAGCTCCTTCGCCACAGAAGAAGCTCGGATACTGTTGTGCTGGCTGGGGATATGAACCCTCAAGTTGGAAAATTATCCACCGATGAACTGCATCTGCGTGGCCACCATGATGTAGGTTCCCGTAATGTTAACGGCGAGTGGTTACTTCATTTGTGTGAAGATGCTCGCTTATTTCTTGCGAGCACTAATTTCAGACACAGCACCCGCCGAAAGGTGACTTGGCGCCCACCAGCCTCGAACCAACAATGGACGCAAATAGATCGCATTGCGACAAGTTACCGATGGAGGCTGCGTCCAGAACTGTCGTTCGATTTGGAGCACAGGTGTGGACACCGATCATGCACCTGTATGTGCTGACCTACGGATGGGTTTTGCGGACACCCAATATGACGTTGTGAGCGCAATGACACCAGCGAGAACAGCTGTTCCGAATGCCTATCAAAGTACGCTGTCATGAGGGTTGAATAAGCGCTGCTCGGGTGCAGTTGGAGCTCACTGGTTTCATCTTCACCAGTCCTTAGTAGCAGCAGGCAAATCCTCATGTGATAAGTCTAGTCGCCAACATGGACATTGGGTCTCTTCGCAGTCTCCGAAACTTGTCGATGATCGCCGGCATATTCCGGCCGGAAGCGAGTACAATGAAACGCGCAAAGCGCTCCGGGCAAAAATCCGTGCTCGCTTGAAGAGAGACCGCAAATTCTGGTGGTCTCATTGTGCATCGGACATGGAAATGGCCGCTGCCCTTGGTAATCATCGTAAGTTATTCCGTCTGATACGAGCTCCGATGGCTCGGCCACGTGTTACGCATGCCAGCCCACCGACTCCCGCGACGTGCGTTGTTTGCGCGCACGGGGTGTGGATGAAAGAAGAAGAGAGGTGGCCAAGCGATGACTTGGTCGAGAGGAATGAAGACACTCACTTCGAAACTGGCCTTAGTTGGAGCGTCTCGACCCCCTGATTGGGGTCCGAAATACGATTAACACGTTTGTCTGGATACACTTGTTGATATGGCTAGGATCCGACCTCAGTAGCATTCGTGTAGTGTTTCTTTGTCCCACCCACCCACTTAACCTCCTCCAACTACGAGCTCATTATTTAACGTTTTATAATTTTGTATAGTGAATTTTTTCTGCTGCATAACAGCCGGCAGGTAGCTTATCAGAACGATGCCCATCCGTTACCGGTAGCTCAGCTGGCTTGCATCTGTTGCATTTTATTCACTTTTTTCTTTTGGGTATTGAGGCACAGAAGCCGAGGTGTTTCCCACCTCTAGCTAACGCGTATTGTGTGTGTGTGTGTGTGTGCGGCCTCCAGTGTAAAGCCGAACGAAGACCGGGAGGGAGGGATGGGAGCTGTGTTTAATCAAGGGAGCCGGTCCACACTCTTTCAACATGCACAGCAACAGCATTTCTGTCTGTTGGGAATCATGCATACCAGAAGTACAGTAGTGGCTGGGCCGTAGTGCGCTTCACAATGGACGGAACCACTCTTTGAGCCTGGCACGGTCACGAAGGCCGTGCACCCTGTCCAGTCAGCAAAGATTAGCAGTTGTCTGGAACCAGTAATGGAGGTGAAAGGTGTTAGACTATTAGGCACCTCGTCAACCTTTATATCAAGCGCAGCCACATCGGTGATATCAATCATCGGCCAACACCTGAAAGGCAGGAAACCCAATGCGCATGCACAAGTACAGAGCAAATGCAGAGATGAATTGAGACCGTATCTAAAAGCAAGTAGAATGGTTTCTGTACAACTCTATCGAGTTACGAAAAATCAAAAACACGTAATTGCGAACCGTCAGCGGTAGTGTTTGGTCCGTTAATCGTTTATCCTTGTTCAGTTAAGAATTCGTATTGGCGTCATTATTTCCGGGTATACGATGTCTGCTTTTGGCATTGCATGTGTATCGTTTCACAAAAACACAGGTTTCCGAAATACTCGTCGGTAGAATCGGCCTCTATTAATCTTTTTGGTAGTGTATTCTATAAATTTACGATTCTTTGTTCAATACAAAGCTGATGTGAAACTTTGTTCATACAGGGGACCCTGAGTTTGTAACGGTGTCTTCGGGGGTTACAGGGTTCCCGCAGATGAAATATTGGCCGCAGTATGGGGAAGTGATTCAAATGCAGTACTCGAAGAGTCATAATAAGGTCAATTCTTACTCGGCAGTCAAATAGTGTGTAGAGTCCGAGCCTTTCAGGTTTTTCATACGGCAGCTTTCGTAGACTCGGTATCCTTCTAATTGTGATATACTGTATCTTCTCCAGCTTTTCAGTTTCCCACTGGGTTATCGGATAGTAAGCTGGGGCACCGTATTCAAGGATTGGTCTAATGAGCGAGGTGAATAGACGAGAGACGGTTTCTTCGGACCATGTGGAGAAACTGCGCCTTAATGCCCAGAGCATACGAAGTCCCGCACGGTACAATTTCTCTGTATTTCCTAGTGATCTTATACCATGTCGCGACAGCACTTCTAAGTCTCTGACAGATGTGTTAGGGTGAAACAACTGGCCATCCAAGATGTATGATCGAGTGGCTGGACGTCTGGTGATACTGAAGAACTCCGACTTTCTTACGTTAACACGGAGTTGCATTTCTGTGGACCACGTTGACAGTCGCTCTAAGTCATGCTGAAAGCGTGCGCAGTCGTCCTGGTTCTCAATGATACTCCAGATTTTCAAATCATCTGCAAACAGGGCACATGGTGAATGGGGCTGCTGCAGAAGATCGTTGATATGAATAAGGAATAATACTGGCCCTAGTACAGCTCCTTGAAGCACGCCACTGGTCGATGGAAACCATTCTGTCAGGTAGTCATGGACCTGTACTCTAAACTTGCGCCCCACAATAAACTCGTGTAACCAATGAAGTAGCGTGCCACCGATTCCATATGTCCTCAGTTTATGAAGGAGTACCTCGTGGTTCACTCTGTCAAACGCCTTATTAAAGTCGATGTACACCACATCAACATCCTTCTGTTCATTGAGAGCTCGTACCCACTGGTGGTTTGCGTACATCAAGTTGGTGATGCAGAATCGCTCTTTCGTAAAGCCGTGTTGCGCTGGCGTCAATACGTCCATCGATTCGAAGAACGACAGCAGACACTTTTTCATAACCTTCTAGAGAACGTTGGATAATATTGAAGTCAAACAGATCGGTCTATAGTCCTTTATTTTATTCGGATCACCACCCTTGGGAAGTGGTCTCACTATCGATCATTTCCAGTTGTTGGGGACAGATCCTTCAGAGAGTGATTTATTGAATAGGTTTGTCACGGCTGGTGAGATGATAATCGATAGGGAATTGAATATTAGTGGGTGAAGTCCGTCTGGTCCGGGGGGCTTTGACCCATCGAGGTTGAGGAGTAGCTGATACACTTCGACTACATCACATTGTAGGCTGTCGAGCAAGACCGACGAAACCTGTGCCAGTACTGGAACAACCGCCGGTTTACTAGAAAATACAGTGAGGAAGTGCGTAGCCAAGGCGACCGCGTGTTCCGCGCTGGAAATGAATGTCTGTCCGTCCAAGCTCTCTAAGACAGGTAGGTCGCTCCCAG